ATCTTCTCGCTATTTTTCGCGATCCTTGAACCGCCAGATTTTTAAGGTTCCTGTCATTTCAATTCGAATCGTTTGTTTTTACTTTTCTGGGTTCCATAAAGTTCTCTTCTTTTTCATTTTCATTGGGTTTATTCGATAAAGTTGTCTGCTTTTCGTGATTGAAATTATTAACGATGATAATTAAAATGAAACAGAGATGAGCAAGAAAAACCTGGCGATTCTGTTACGGGCTAGAATGAGGTCCAACGATCCCACCAAACTTTCCCTCTCTCAATTTCCTGTAAGATTTCTTTGTCTGAATTTTAATTACGAATTGTTTTGATAATTATGTGATTTATGCCCAAATTCACCCAATCTACGACCTTGGGATATGAAAAATTTCATATCTTTTGATGAGGAAAAGGAATTGATTTGGTCTTTAATCGAGCTGTAACAAAAAAAAAAAGAGGGCTTTTTGCTTCTTGAGCTTGAATCTAGTGTATATTGTTTTCTTGAATGTTTGTAAGAAGATATGAATATAATAATAAGACCAAATTTGTCTATAAAATAATGGTTTTGACTTTTTTTTGTTTTAGAAAGAGATCCCATCAAATCCTCAAGAGAATCATTCTAGAGATCACATTGTGACAAATCCAACTGAAGGAAGTGGAAATTCCAGTGCTTTTGGTACCACAAGAAGGTGAGTTTTGATTTTGTGCACTTGATCTTTGAACAATACTAAATGGTTCTGTTTTTGATGTTTCTTGTGTTATCTTTATACTGTTTAGGGTATATGATGTAGTTTGTGAAACAATGCACTCAGCTATCTCAGCGAGTAAAACCGGTGTTTCGGACATTACTCTTAATGATTTTCAAGAGGTAAAACTATCTCACACTGCTTCTTGATTCGACGTGTTTAAGTTTTCCGTTTGATAGTTCATGGTTAAAATGCTTATAGGGTTATTTAAGCCTTTCGCTTGAAGACCGTGAGAAACTGCTGGTTTTATTAGCCAAAGAATATGATGTTAACCGGGAGCAAGTCCGAAAACTTGTTAAGCAATATCTCGGACTTGAAACTCCAGACAGTAAGTGTTTGTCATTTTGATTGTATTCTTCGATTAATTTTCTCCATTGATGAGCGAGTACTCTTTAGGTGTCGATGAAGAACTTAGTTCTCCGAAGAAGGAAGCTTTAGCTTCAGTTTTCTATCGCATTGAGTGGAATCTTAGACATTCTCTTAAGCCAACATATGAAATTCTATTTGAGAGGTTGAATACACATCCAGGAGGGTTGAGATTTTTGTCCATCCTCCGTGCTGATCTTCTATCAATGCTCACGTAATATTTCTCATCCTCTTGTCATGTGACTGGAAACTCAAATAGTTTTGTATTAGACACTGATGGTTCTTTCTAATCTATAGAAAAGAAAACACGCCGTCTTTGCGAACATTAGATTCCTATCTAAAGGAGAAACTTGGTATGTGGCTTAGTCCTGCCACTTTAGAGCTTCATCAGATTACTTGGGATGATCCTGCTTCATTACTTGAGAAAATTGTTGCATACGAGGTATTGCATTAGTAGCTTCCATTACAGTAAATCTCAGCTATTTCAAATGGTTAAAACAGTTTTGTTTTTTTTTATGAAATAACGCATTATTCATAAGGCGGTGCATCCTATCAGCAACCTCTTGGATCTTAAAAGAAGATTGGGTATTGGCCGTCGATGCTTTGGATATTTTCATCCAGCTATTCCTGGTTAGTTAGTTTCTCTGGATTGCATACTTCTTTAATTGTAAGTTGACAACACTCTTTGACCATCTTGCATTGTTACTTTCAGGTGAGCCACTTATTTTTATCGAAGTTGCTCTTATGGAAACCATTGCTCAGACAATTCAGGTTAACCTATTCTCTCGATCCTAATGCCGTGTAGTTTAGATTCTGTAGCTATGTATCTAAAATTTTACTTATACCATGGCAGGAAGTTTTATGGGACAATCCTCCCATTCCAGAGAACCAAGCAACATGCGCATTATTTTACTCGATTTCTTCAACTCAGGTTTGTTATTACTCTTCCTGCATATCTGTAAATCTTGCATTTGTTCTCGTCAATTCTCATATTGTTTTTTTTTTCCATTCATTTGGTGTGATTAAATCTTAAGGCGTTTTGCCTCTTATGTATTTGTAGCCTGGCTTGGCTGGGATAAACCTCGGGAAATTTCTGATCAAACGAGTGATTAAGTTGGTGAAAAAAGACATGCCACATGTTTCTGTGAGTACTAATTTGTATGAAATTTTGTTACCGGAGAAAGGTATCATCTGCTTGCTCAATAAAACTGTGTTTTCGTTGCAGACATTTGTAACACTTAGCCCCATTCCTGGATTCATGCAATGGCTCCTCTCAAAGTTATCATCTCAGTCGAAATTTGCTGCAGATGAACGCAGTACACAGAGTACTTCGCCTTCATCTACTTTTAGCGAGAATGTATTGCTACCAGAAGAGGAACAAGCTCTGATGAGTCTATCAGAGTAAGAAGCTTTTTTAATCAATGCTTTTAAAGAGATTCATTGATCAAATTCTTCGTGTACGTTCTTATCATTTATACAAAAAATCAAAATCAAAGCATTAACTCAATAATCTTGTTTACACAGCGATTCTTCTTCCGGTGATCACGGCATGGAAGTTCTACTGAATTTGCTATCAGTAACGAACTGCGATTGGGCTACTTCGCCTCGTATATTGCCAGTTTTAGAACCTATTCTTATGCGGTTATGTGCTAGGTATGTTCTTTTTTGGATATCTTATGGTTTAATATGAATCATTAAAGCATAAGCTCTAATGTTTTGTCTTGATTTTGATAGGTACCTCTTGCAAGAGAAGAAGAGAGGAAAAGCATTAGACTCTGTTGCTAACTTCCACTTGCAAAATGGAGCGGTAAGCCCAGTGAATGCGATAAGGTTTTTAGACAAACAGAGTGATTGACGTATCTTGAGATTGATAACGCAATTCTGTTTTGATTTGTTAAATATATAGATGGTTGAAAGAATAAATTGGATGGCGGATCGATCAGAGAAAGGGGTTCATCAAAGTGCAGGCATTATGGTTAACTATGTCTATAGGTAAAGTAAACTTTTCATTTCAAATTATTCCGCTACATTGCTCTGTTCTTTCGGATCCTAAACCCGTCTTATTCGATTAATGAACAGGTTAGAGAATATCGAAGACTATTCTCAATCGTATTTTGCGTCGGGAAAAATCCATGCCTCTCCTGGTCTCCATCCCCGTCTCTAAGTAAATCCGCAAAGCGAATCTGACCGATTTGATTCTTGATTTAAAAGAAAAGGGCTTAGGATTATTAAGTCATCAAAATCTGAGATCAACACAAGGCACAATTGTCTTATATACATATGTATGTATGTACAAACGGTTTTATGTGTGTATATTCTCGGTACAATATATAATGTGAATGTGATTTGAAGAGATAAGAGCTTTCACTTATCCGAATCGGGTTTTTCGACATGGCTAGTCTCTAAAACGTATTCTCGCATGAGTTTTGTGTTGAATCCATCCACATTCTGCAATTTCACAAAACAAGTTGCTTCTGTTACGCACTTGCACTCATATATGTATGACTCTATAGAGAGAGAAGACCGAACCTTGAAGGAGAGGCGCTTCAAATTGTCCCATTCAAAATCGTTCTTACAATATGCAGACCGTACCTACGTACGATAACAAAAGGTTAAAACCGTAGAGATGAATAATAGTATTAAAGTGTTAAAGGAGAAACAAAAATGCTTAAGTTACCTCTAAAATTCGAAGGGCTTTTGCATGAATCATGAAAAAGAAAAAGAAAAAAGCTTTAGATTTATATAATCAGATCAATAACAATATGTATAACTTATCACTTATAAGTAATACTAACTATTAGTGAAAGCAAAAAACATTTTTGTCAAACAATGCAAAAGAAATTTCTTTACCCATGAAAATTCTTCTACATAAAGATGTTTAACAATTTAGCTATCTAACAAAATTAAAAAATCGTTTAATTTAAACAAGAGAAAATTGTTTGGAAAAAGCAGAGTATTCCGTGTAAAACCACTTAAGAAGAAAACGAATTTTGTTCCGTATAATATTTTTATATAAACCAATTTAGTACCTAAGTTCATGTGACGTGAAGATCGACGCATGAGAGCAGCACAAAACTTATCGCCATCACTTACAGAGTTTGTGTCTAAAAATTCTCTTAACTCCATATACGCCTCAGGATTATAACTCTGTACATTAATTAACATAAATCATAGTAATTATTATAATCTTAAATATATGTAAATAAGATACGAATTTTTCATCAAAATTTGACCTCAAGCTGAGCAGACACTATCCTCACTGCAACATAAGTAAAAAAGTCATGAAGATGCTTCGCTGCTTTAGCCTCCGGTGAAGCTTCTCCAAACCCTAATTTAATCATAGCCAAATATTAGAAAAAATATAAAACACTGATTTATATAGAAAAATGTCTATGGATCAAAATCACATTTCGTGGATTATTTGTTACATTTTACATACCGGGAACATACATCTTGTTAGAACAAATGCGGGTTGGTTTGCGATTTTGCGTATTCCGCATTGATGGATAAGTAAGCAAAGGTCTTTTTCCGAATTTTGGATT